ATACATAACATAAATAACTTTCGAAAAAATGAGAGATGAGGAGCCATAGTGAATAAAATATAATAACATGGAATTTTTTTTGAAAAAATCATCAGCGTCATCATAACCCACACAAATATTTAAATAAAATGTAATAGTTGTTAGCCTAGAAAAGTTTATGGGGGAATAACATTCGAGCATGTACAATAACAAAGTTCTGTAAAAAAATATATAATGCATAGAAAAACAAATGTAACAATAATTAACAAAAATATAATAATATGGAATAAAAAACACTCATCAACAAAATATAAAAAATGTAACATTTCTTACATAGATTTTATGGAGGAARAACAACAATATCAACGATAAAAAAAATTTGCAAAAAAAAAAAAAAAAATTCAACACACATCAATAACAACAAATAACTCACAATAAAACATAAAATAAACCATAAAAAATGTATTTTCCATTTGATTAGACATTCAGCTGTATAATTTACAATATGATGAAGGATTCGATAAAACAAAAGAAAAAAAACGTTATATGAGACATAATATGTAGATGAAATAAAAAACAAAAAGTTTAAGAAATTTATGACTTAATGAAAGACAATCAACATAACCAACAAAAATATTTTAAAAATATATAAATTTGAGAAAAAAGAATTAAGAAATAACTCTTTCACWAAGTGGAAATATAAAAAATATATATAGTAAATGTCTCTAAGAGTTAAGTGGATTGAAAGTTAAAGTAATTAAATTGAAAATAAAATTACCAAATTAGCCTTTGAAATACATATTTTTTATTTTAAGGATATAATAGTCTTTAACTTATTTAATATTTAAAAACTCAAAACAATGAAATTTTTTTTAGACAAATCATATTCTAAGAATGTGCCACGTCAATTTTATAGCAAAATTCTATTGTACATTTGAACTATAATAAAATTATCTAAATGAAACGGTTTCTTCGATTTTTATTAAAGTTGTATTTATTTTCTTAAGATAAATTAAGTAATTGTTTTCCATTAAATCGTGTATGGATTAAATTATCTTAATTTGTTTTTCATCAAAAAATAAATTACAAATGACAAAAATTACAAATTCAATATCTCATTTCATTCCTAATTGATGGAGATTTTGTTGATGTTGGTGACACATTATTTTAACTCCACATAACAGAAGAAAAACAATATAATACATGTGTATGATAAAAATAATTAATTTAAAAAAATAAGGATATGTTAAATTAAAGCTTTTTATATCTAATAGAAATTCATTATTAAACTTATTGAAATAAGACACTCATGCATAATTACATGTACAAATGTATATAAAATACATTTTCACAACAAAACATAATAAATGATGGAAATTGAAATTGACTCGTTATATTGATTTAATTGAAAAGACACTTCGCTATTAATTATATATATAATTCATGATGTCAAATGGCAACACTTTCATCATTTGACTTTTAATGATTTCAGATGTTGTGAATTTGGATATATATATATATATATATAAAGAGTTCGTGAGAAATCACATCAAAAAACTTGGATAAAAATCCGCCTTATATGTTGATCCTTAAATGTGTGGATTTAATAATCTCACGTTATATTTCGATCCTCAAATGTGTGCATGGATGATTGCATGAAATTTAATCAAGGATAGATTCATACCCTTGATTTAAGCAGAAAATGAAGAGCAATAAACATAGAGAAATCTGTAGATTAAAACCAAGAACTATTACGTACACCTTTCATAAGGTAGTCTTTACCCTAATTTCAGTCAACTTAGGAGTCTAGTTTCTAGTACCTATTTAAGACTCTCTCTCATCTTTTGGTCTCTCAAGTTCAATTTTTCCTCATTTATTCTTTTATCTATTTATTGAGCAAAGCTGTGGTGAATTTCAACAACTAACTAACTATGCTGGTAGCTCTTTGACTTTCAGTCTGCCTGCAGAGCCTTTTTGCACCTGGTCAACAACAAAGACAGAGGGAACAACCCTGATTATGTTGGTCGTAGGTTGAAGATTATTGATAAGTCAAGGTGAGGGGCTGTCATTTTCTCAGATTATTGATAAGTCATTTGGTGAGAAAAACTACAATTGGATAGACTCTCGACATGGAAAAACCCTTATAAGGAGGTCTGGATTTTTTGAGTCATGCATCGGCTATTGACCAATATAATTGAACAAGCTTAACTAAGATTTGAGATACCAAGGTATAGATAGACCTAGTAGTTGAGTTTGTTAACTCATTAAACTATAGATCTGGAGTAATTGATCTTAATGAATGTAAATTCGTAAGTGATGCTCATATTCATATAACATAGATACGTGACCTACTTTTATGTTCCATCACATTCAGTGGAATCTACTCTCTCCGGTCATCAAAAGGTGAGTTTTGAGTATGACATTTTATCCATGTTTTTGTGTGGTCCTTGAAAACAATTTTTCTTTTGAATGATGAAGCAACAGTTAGTTAAAGAAGATGGATAAGAAACATGATGTTGTAGTATAACTTAATAGTGTAAGTAAATCCCCACGCTAGCTAATTTGGGCAGGGGGGAGGAGGCCAATAACAAACAATCCCAACCCTTGTCTTTTTAAAAGTATTGTAGTAATCTTACAGGCAGGAAGGAACCAACCATAAGCCATGATTAATGCTGCTTTCCTTTCCTCAAGCATCCCAACAAACTTCCACCACCCTTACCAGGTTCATACCATGTCAAGAAATTTGGATCTTCCTCGACACATGCTCTGTATCTCTCCAGAATCCTCACTATTTCATCGAACCCCAATCGCTTCTCTGGTTTGCTTGACCAGCATCGACGTATCAGCTGCCGAAATGCACTTGGACACGTACCAGGTAACGGAGGTCGAGCATTCTGCACACATTCATACTCCTTAAACAGCTACTATTAACTTTATAATTCATTTTGGATTTCAAAAGTTACACTTTAAATGTTTGTGGGCACAACCCACCTCTTGTCTCTCACTTGGTTTCATGTTCAATCAATAAGATCTGGTTATTAAAGCATATCCTCCACTCTGCACATGATGATGTTTCTACTCCACTCTCTTATCCATATTTCAGGAGCTTTATAAATATAACATATATATATATACACACACACACAATATGTTTTATTGTTATAAAATTTGTGTTCTTTCTCCTTCTGATGAGTGATGATAGCATACTTCATTTATCAACTATTTGAACAGCTTCCTTTAATGCTAATAAATGAATCTCAAAAGCAATTGGGAAACATCATAAAAAAGGAATAACAATGAAATATCTCTTAGAATAGTAATTATAAACCTCATATAAAGAGAATGGCAGTTCAACTGATATGATGAACAAGTTGGCTTAAGGTCCAAAACTGCATCATATTATCCCTAAATTTTCATAAATATGTGTACATCAATAATATCTTGGGAGGATCAATACCCAATCATATTGATCTCTAGTGCCCTTTTTCTTTATGCCTACAATGTCAAATATATTTGAGTGTTCACATGCAGCTCTCCACCTTATACATCCTTAATAGATAAGCTCCCCATGTTTGTATTTTATGCTCAGAAAAATGAGTAGAAATGATCCCTATGTTTCTCACTCCATTTCATTAAAATAAAATCCATATCTTAGGCCAACGAAAGGGCCTAGGCCCTTAGTGGTATATTATATGCATAAGGCCAGATACTGGAGTGTAAACGTCAGTATTTTACTTTTCAATCATCTCCATGAATAGGGTGGACTGTGGAGGATGGATCAGATTGACATGCTTATAATATCAGACAATTTGAGTAAATAAGCATCATCGAGCGCTAGCCTAGCTCTCTAATGGAGGTAACTAGTTTTTTAAACTTTTGTCGTCTCTACCGTATGAAACTTGTCTGGATTCTATCCTTGTCCCAAAAACTTGAAATATGATTTGACATTTGTAGTGAAACAAGTCATTTTTAGAACCTGAAGTTGATATGGATTCTTTTAGAACACCCCTCTCAAATTAAGCCTGCATTAAACTACACTTAGTTTGCTTATAAGAATCTGGTTAGATGACAAATTATTCTTAACCTTGATATGTAATGCCATGAATCTATATGCAAAAGTATTAGGATATAGAATACACCATAAAACAATATGATTACCTTCTGGCACACAGCAAATGCAGCCTGTTCCGGAGTCATGTCGTCAAATGGTGTCAATGCAGTTAAAAGTTCCCACAGAACAATCGCAAAACTGTAAACATCAATTTTCTTTGTATGTTTCTTCTCTTTGATCATTTCTGGTGCCATCCAACGATAAGTACCTGTAAATCCCTTTGCACTACCACATTGAGATTCCAAACATGAGATACCAAAATCCGCTACTTTTACACACATATCTTCACCAAGCAGTAGATTTTCAGATTTCAGATCCCTGTGAAGTACACCCTGAGAATGAAGATATTGCATTCCCAAGGCAATGTCAAGGGCCAACTTTAGAACTAGGTTGGGAGGCAGTGAATACGGCTCCTGCTGATGGAGGTATGCCCTCAGGGAACCACCCGCCAAGTACTCGGTGATTATACAAAATACAGGAGGTTTCTTACAAGCCGCAATGAGCTGCACGAAAACAAGAAATGATGTTTGTTACAAACACAGGAACTAAAAATTGTGAGATGAATATTGCATACTTGCCAATTCCAATTTTTTTAGCGACATGTAAAGGCAAATTCTTGTTATTAACACACCAATCTTAATTTAATTACATGTTGATCTCATCTCTTCTCTATCAAAGCTTATAGACGCCACCACGCGGGCCATACCAAACTTTCTAAACTGCAAGCAGATTTTTTGACAAGGACTATAATTTCTCTTAAAATGGTAAAATTACCAACTGATTTAGGAGAGAGCAGTGTTAGGTGTTAGCGATAGATTCAAACAATCATGCTCTTATTACTTGTTAAAGGAAATATACTATGCTCTCAAGTGTGCTGCTTTCACACTTGGGGAGGTCTAATATATTAACTAGTTGTACTATAATTCAATAAAAGCAATTGCTAAAAAAAATTAAACAAATATAATACATGGAAAAGATTATAACATCAGATCCCACTAACCAAAATGTAACCAGAAACATACACGTAAAGAGGACCATACAAAATATGGCTGTACCAATCGCGGTCCCAAATAGAGACACGTTACTTAACAGGGGGAAGGCCGCTTGAAGAGGTTAAGCAACCTCAGGAGAAGAGTTCCCCTCCCCTTGAAAGACCTAAGCCCTAAAGTACTTTGGGGGCCACCCCTATCCACCCACTAGACCTACTTCAGGTAAAGAAAACAACTCTCTTCACAAATTAAAAGTACACAGGGGTGCTCTCTACTCAACCTCTCACCTGAGGTGGATTCAGAGGGGTCAAACCCTTTTGCGGACATTGATTGCAGATCAGGGAGCATCCCAGGAGCTCAACCAAAAGTGATGACAGAAACACGCATCAACATTTGGTGCTAGGAGGGAGTAGATGCTACTGGAGCAACTTTCGCCTGTTGTGACTCTTTAAGTTCAAAACAATTTACTGTATTCTGAAACTTCCGCACAAGCAAATCAACTCTTCTATCTTATACTGAAGCAAAGTAGTTAACAAGCCAAAGCCATAATTCCAACAAGACAAAAATAAAGGCGAAGAGAAAAAGAGTAAGACAATAGAAAGAAAACCAAAGAAAGCACAATGTTACTCTGGATTAGTAAGACATTCTTTGACTTGCATTGAAGGCATTATTTAACAAAACTGTCTCTTTTGTTCACACTTTCACAACATAAGCTCACTAATGGTAATAAATTTAAAAGGTCGTTGAAGAACTCGAGGAAAAGTCATTACAAATTTTGTTTGTCAATTTAATCATCAAGCAAACCAGATCTTAAGTGGTTGGCATTCTTAATCACGCCGGAGAAGATGCAGTTCATTACTATTCTTTTTAAACCTAAGTAAATATTCATTGTCACTGCTGGAAGCATCCAAACATTTTTTTGTAAGTTCTAATATATGTGTGGGGAAGGTAAAAGATTCTTAATTGAAGTCCATCAATATGACCCAGAAAGTGAGAATGCAACAGAATTTGTATATACACATAGCAATCTACGATACAAGGCTAGAGAAAAAGGTAATGTGGTCCATTTCCTGACAATATGCAGCTAGTACTCTCTGAAAAGTTATGTTGCATTCTATTATCATTTCAGAAAATCCATGTACCCGAATAGATTTCATCCTGCCATCTCAGGAACTTCACATGCGTGTACGGTATAATCACCTAACATGTGAAGCCTTCAAAGCGGTGGCAAGAAAACTTTAGGGGTAACATGGAAGATCCTTAGACATCTAGCCGGTTATAGTTATGATTATGGCCTTCACCAACAATTACAACTGAATTTAAAGCTTCCATTTATTTGTTCATAAGATTGATGACGACGTCTTAGGCCATCTCAAAGGCTTCACATGCTTGTACGATATAATCACATAGCATGTGAAACCGTCACGACGGCGGCGGCTTCGACCAAAACTTTTGGGGGACGAAGGCATAGAGGATTCTTATAAATCTAACTGTCTATAGTTATGGTAGATTCTTATCCGTAATTCTATTACCCACCTTCATAAAATTAGAAGTTATTAATAAACACATACTTTTATGTCACATATTAACATGTAAGTATTTGGTACTACGATGAGAATAATCATTGTATACTTACAGTGATGATGTTGGGATGTTGGAGACGAAAAAGCAAGACGACCTCCGAAGTGAACTGCTTTTCCAACATAGAGGCCAAATCGCCATCTTCCTCCGGCTGACTAATAAGCTTAATCGCAACATCTTTCTGTTTATAAACCCCTCTGTAAACCCTACTGTGCCTCCCCGTAGCGAACTTATTGCCAATGAACAGCTGTGACATATCAGCACTCCATTCTATATCTTCTTCTTCTTCCCCTTTCGCTTTTATCTCGCCTCCAGACGATACCAAATACTTTGACCACGACACAGCTCTCTTGTACTCCCCAAGAGATAGCCTCCTCTCCAGCTTCCCACTGTTTGAAATTTGCTTAAACCAGTTTGATTTCTTCATAGATTCATCAAGTTATTACCTCACACTCCACAGTCACGCAAATTTGCCAAAATAATTCAAGTTACAAAAGCCTCAAGAAGCTACATTCAATAATTCTTATTCAAAAGCGATTCAAGTCACGGAGAAAATAGAGAGAGAGAGAGAGAGATCAAAAAACTTCGATGCGAAAACGGTGTCGATTCACATATAAGTAAAAGTAAGAAGATTAGATATGCATAGATATCCGTGCAAGCCTTAAGATACGGAAAATCTCAAAAAAATTAAATCTACTACGTCTCTTTCCGCAGAGTCTGAAACAAGATGTCCAGCAACGTGAAGACGAAATCTAAACGAAACGACGACAACTACATCGAGAAACGTGAATGTGCACACTCCGACTGGAATATGAACAGATTTGCGCTTATATATGACTTACAACAGCTCTGTGGGTGAGAGATGAATAGAGATGTTGTTCCGCCGGAGCGGCGACGGTTTCTCTCTCTAGAATATTCAGGCGAGTGTTTCTCTCACTAGAAAGAGAGAAATATGGTATTAGTCTGGAGTTGGAGTGTTTCACCCACACATACGGTCCTTTTATCAATCATAACGTGCGAAGATCCACTTCAGAGGAGACAAGAGGGGTATTCCCCTTGATACCGACGTTTACCTTTTTCTTTCATTTCCTATTATACCCCTCCCCACTTTTACATTCATCTTAATCTTAACTATTCATAAAAAATTAATGCAACTACTTATTTATATGTATATTAAATTAAATTGAATAATTCACCAAAATAACTAATTTATACCGTACGTATTAAGAAAATAACCAAATTGAAACTAGTTTGTAGAAATGGCCACCCAAATCACCCATGGAGGTGATCCAGGCTGGATGGGGGCGATCCACCCCCGGAGGCGAGCCACGTCATCCCATCGCCCCCCGGGGTGATCCAGCTATTATGTATGTTTTTTTCTTTTTTTTTGTAATATCTATTAAGGGGTGTTTTTAATAAAAATGAGACGATATTTGAACTATTTTTTTAACCTATTTTTCATGTTTTAATTAAATAAAATAAAACAACTTGTACTCTCTCAACCCGTAAACCTTATAAAAATACGATTTTACATGAAGATTTTTTTAAACGCATAAATCAGATATATTTTTCTTATTTTATAAGAAATCTTATTTTGTCTTTTAGTGCAACCAATTTTACTATAAATACCAACCTCCTACTTCATTATTTTTCACACATTCTCTTTCATTTCTCTTCTCATATATTCTACTCTCACAACTCTTAACCCTTCAACACAATAAACCATCCCAATCCTTAACCCATTAAACACAATCAACCATCACAAAACATGAAATCATGTCAAAGCGATGATGTTTTTGTGTATCTTCGAAGTGGCGGTTTATTCCAAGATATAAATGGTGTGTTAGAGTACCTTCCGATAAGCTCCCCCACATGTGTAATACGTTTGTCTTCACCAATAACATATTTTGGGGTCGTCAAATGTGTGATGAAAAAGTTAAGTTCACATGGTTCTTTCAATTTACTTTATAAAACGAATACGTTATATCAGTTAATGGACGACGATGATGTGGTAATCTTCCACAAGGCCATTCGTCAAAATTTACCAGAAATGTCGACACTATTTGTGGTCGATAATGGAGGTTATGGAGGAAATCTAGCAAGTGTAAACTCGGGCGGTCCAAACACTTTTTACCCCGGTGCTGTAAGTTGTGGAAATCCAAGCACACGCTTCCCCGACGTTAGCGGTGCAAACCCATATGGTCCAAGCACACTCTTACCTACCGGTTGTGGTCCTGGTGTAAATCAAATAACTTTCTTCTCTAGTGGTGGCAGTGGTGAAAATCCAAGCACCTTCTTCCCTTATGATGCCGCTAGAAATTCATATTTTGAACAAAAAGTTACCGTTSAACCTGACAGTTATTTTGTTCAAGATTTGAACTTGCCTCCGATGCAGTCTCCCAACCCGTACCCGATCCGGTCTCTCGAACTGTCAAAACCGTTGTGGGAGGTAGATATGGCCGAAGATGTTTCTGTTGCAGCCGAAATTTTGAACATACCCGAATACGACGATAACTCTGATGCTGAAGAAATCCAGCCGATAAGGAATAGTTTTTGGGGTATGCCCGACCCAACACCTTGTCCAGACTCAGTTATCAAAAGTAGACAGGAAAACATTTCCTACCAACCTACATCCCATATCAAAGTTCTCCAAACCTTTGACTCGAAGGAAGCACTGAAGCTCGTAGTGGGATTAAAGTGCGTCTATGAAAACTTTCAGATCAAGGTAAAGAAATCATCCAAACACCGGTATGAGGCGGTGTGTCACTCTGATTCGGACTGTGATTGATGTTTAATGACTGTCTCCATCGATGGTACCAGTATGTTACAGATACGGAAGCTCCACGATGAACACACATGTTCAAGGTCCCAAGTGCACTCAAACCACCGTAATGCGAATAAAAAGGTTTTGGGTCATATATTGGCAGACAGTTTAAAGGATTGTAGAGAGTGTATTGTGGTAAAGAAATCATGGAATATGTGAACCAACGGTTCAATATTAGCATCTCCTACAACCAAGCATGGCGAGCAAAGATGTATACCTTGCAACTGTTGAGGGGGACCCTTGAATCGTCGTTTAATCTACTCCCTGTTTATTATCAACAATTTGAAGCTAGCAAATCCGGGGACTGTGACAAAGATTATTGTTGATGGACTTGGACGATTCGACATGTTGTTTGTCGCACTCGGTTGTTCGGTAATAATTTTTGTCATATCAGGGGTTTCCTATGCCTCTCATTTGGTCATTTGAAAAGATCGACCACTCGTCCTTCCCGATTCCCCTATTTGGATATTGACTCCCCTATGCGTACTCGGAGTATTTCCACCAAAAGTCAACCTTGGAGCCTTTAATTGAGGACAATCCGGTTTGACATGGTCGGCAGAATTACAACAGAAACATCGTTGAGGAATCCGACAACTTCTGGACAAGTGATCCGACTCCCCACATTTGTAACACTTTCTCTGTTCGAAATTACAGTCACCCTGATGAACATGGTGACATCTCTGACACGGTCTTTCACCAAATCTTTGGACAGGATGATTATCTGTTTTCACAAATTCTGGTCCTCTATATTCAGTAGAAGACCCTTCCCATTTTCTCTTTTCTACCACTTTCTATTCTCCCTGCCTGTTCTTATTCCTTTCAGTTGTTTCTACAACATCTACTGCTAGTGAAACATTTGAAGGATCCATGACAATCACAAACTTTCTTATCGAAGGTTTTAATCCCCAGATATACCTCTCGACTTAACAAGATTCTGAAGAAATATAGTATTATGCAAATAGAGAGTGTTCAACAAATCTTTCAGTGTACTCTCATATCGTCTGATTACGTTGCTCTAGCTTGAAGAATTCTTCTTATAATTGTCTGACAGCTGCCTTTGGATAAAACTACTCCCTAAATCGGTCAACGAACTCCAACCAGTACATTGTTTGCAAAATATTAGGTCTTGTTAGTGATTCAATATCCCACCAATACAAAGCATTTGACTTCAACATGATACTACAAATCTGACTCTATCTTCATATGAACACTTGTTGGTATTCAATACAGATTATATCTCCCTTAACCAACACATTGTCTTTATCGGGTGTTTTTCTCCAGAAAATGTTGGGGGTTTACAAGTTAACAACATTTTGAGGTTGCCCCCTCTGGTATTTGTAGATTGGACCTACGGATTTATTTCGACCTTTTCTGTTTCTACCCTGGCCGGTACTCCCAGAATAGATATTAGAGTATTCCTTAACTTATTCATTTCTTTTTCTAACATATCTCGAGTAACATACTCAGGATGTGTTTACAAGTTCTTAATTTACATTTTCCTGAATTGATTCACCCTGATCCTAATGAATTTCAGGCTGATTGTTCCTTCCTCTCTCACGGCCTCTACCCCGACCTCTCCCACTACTTTTATCCGCTGGTAAATTTGTAAGAATATTTTCTGCCGAACTTTCCCTTTCCTCCGGGCTAATAAGGGTGTTCCTTTTAGACCATAGTGAATGACTGGCCATCTATAAACCTTCAATATTCAATATTTACATAATCACATTCTCAAATATAATAAGGTGTCCAAGTACAAATATGTACTTGTAAATTCATAATTACATTGGTCAGTTGTAATTTAAATTTATCTTACATATCGTTCTCTTAACCCATCATATTTATTCCAATAGTTCTACATATGTGAGAGATCCTTAATATGCAAATAATACAATTTAAGTCTATGTATCATACTGAATACCAAAATCCCTTTAAACTCAAGCTCTGATACCAAACTTGTAACACCCCAGGATCATATTTGCATATAACATATATTTCCATATATCAATAAATTATAATTTACATATTCGGTCACAAACTCTCTACAAAAGCTATATTACAAAATAGCTAACAACTTTTTCCACAACATCTCTATATTACTCATGAATACATAACAAGTACTAAAAAAACAACAGATAATCATGTTATCCTTTACATCCCATGCAAGCATATAAAACTTCTAACAGTTTCCCTTTTCCCCATCCTTTGATTGTACCCAACATGTAATGCACATTTTGAAACACAAAATGAGGGTTAGATCTTGAGGTCTAGTGAAAAATCCTTTTGATGCAATTACAAGGTGAAAATCACCAAATCATATTTATAAACTCATATTTGTAATAATAACAAATATACATCATAAATCTCATTTTTCGCATTCAAATACCCAATAACTTGAAAAACATCTCGTGGGTAAAACTTGTCGCATCACATGGAAATTTATACAACTTCTCACATCACATTGATGAGACAAACCTAAGTCCTCGCAATATACTGGTGCGAGAACCTCAACTCATCGCATCACTCTGATGCGATAACCTAACTTGTCCCATCTAATGGCTGCGATAAAACAACTTGTCGCATCATAAGGATGTGACAAAACCCATTTCTCGCATTACTCTAGTGCGACAACCTCACTTCATCACACCAATAGAATGCGACAACTCAAAGTTATCACATCACATAGATGCGACAACCCCAAGTTATTGCATCATAAGGATGCGATAATTATGAATGTGATACAAAAACCCAGATGTCATAACTCATGATTTTACACCCTTATACTGGTATATACATCTCCTTGATATGTCACCCTTATCCCAATATACATCTCTCCTTGATATGTCACCCTTATAACCAAAATATATATTTCCTTGATATGTGACCCTTATAACCAAAATACACCTCTCTTTGATATGCCACCTTTTTCCCACAATGACGTAATCATAACAATAACCCACAATTTCTACCAATTATGGCATCAAAACAATTTTATAACTGAATCTCATATAAAGAACCATGCGGTTCTATACCCAGTTTCCAAATAAGGAAAGTTGTAAAATATACTCACCTTATGAAATCACAAAGATGAAGATTCAAGATGAACAACAACAGATTATCCAGGCATTAAAACAAGATCAACTT